CCCCCCCCCGTATTTAAAGGAGTGACCTGCTTTATAGGATACTAAGCAGTGATTTTTGTTTTCTTTTGAATCCTCACCCGAGGATATTTTTTCCATTGCTTTTCAGAGAGAGTGGAAGGGAGAGAGAGACAGAGAGAATCGATGTGAGAGAGACATCAGTTGGTTGCCTCCTGCCGACGGGGGCTGGGGATCAAGCCTGCAACCGAGGCACATGCCCTTGGGCAGAATCAAACCTGGGGCCCTTCAGTCCAAGGGTCGATGCTCTAACCACTGAGCAAAACCAGCTAGGACTAAGCAGTGTTTGTTTTTTGGGTTTTTTTTATGAATTATGTTGATAAATTATGTTGATAAACATTATCTGTAGTAGTCACTCCTTTCCAACCATTTGTAAGTAAACTTTTTTTGACATCAAAATATTTGTCAGACAAAAACTGGAAATTCTTCAAATTGATTTGGAACATTTGTTAAATTTATGTATATTTTTTTCTAAAATGAAATGAAAATGAATTATGGAGGAAAAGTTACTTTATGTGATAATCATTAACTTAAGTACCTATATGTATTTTTTCTGATTGTCATGTGACTTAATTCAGTTACTCATGTGAAATATAACTAGGAAAGTATTCTATAAAACTGAATTATTCTTAAAGTGTTTTAGGTGACCTTGCTGCATTTCTGTTTAGTGTTTTGGATCATACCTTATTTCCAGAATTCTAAACATTGTCATAGGATTTGTGAGGACATTTGACTCAATAACAATGGTTATATTGGAGTGAAACTTAGAACAAAGTTAGTTTCAGTAATACCTTCATTCTCTAGGACTGATTATGAGACCTCTCCCATCATGCCTTGATTTATATCAGCCCTTTATTCCTGTGATCTAGAAGAAAGTATGTGATGCTGTAGCTAATCTAATCAGTGACTGGGAATAGCATTAGAAACAAAGTCCCCAAGTTTTAGTTACTTAATTTGCTCATACTTCTAAATCTTGTGTTAGCCTCATCAAACCCATTTGGAAAGGAAGCAAGATACTTGAAGGAAATGCAAAGAGAATTCTAAAGCACAAGAAATATTGAGACTGTGGTTAATCATTTTTAGTGTAACATGTTAGCTTTTGCCCATCTAAAGCACAATTAGGAATTAGGCTAAATTCTTTCCAGTATTCCATTTCATTATCTACTACATGCTGCTCTAGTTTTTAGTACTTTATAATGTGTATGTTATTTGCTACTGGTTGGCATTATTACCCACAGGAATTCTAGAAAGTTACCAATCTGTGCTGCTTGCTGGTCATGTGTGTGACCCCAGTTAACCATACTAGTGTTCTGATTTAGTATTAATTCTGGATCAGCATGCCGTTGGTCTTCCAAACTTGGCAAACTTCACGTAAATATATTTTCAGTTGTGAGGAAAGTGTATGTAAATTATTATAATGCATCTCTACCTTCATACCTTGAATGGCAAAAGCTATTTATGCATAAATAATTCATTTTAAGTACTATGAAAAATTGTAAATACTTTTCTGACATAGATTTTAAAGATATGGGACTGTTTATTTTCACATAAGTCAATACGTGTCTCTAGAACGAAATATTTCATTTAGTAAAGCTTTATAAATTGTATTCAAAAGAAGCAAAGAAACATTTTTTAGCATAAAACAAAGTGACTTCATTCTCTTTTGACATCAGAGATGTTAAAAGTTGATTTCTAGTATTTGTTGTACTTTTTTGTAGCAAATGGTAAATATCACAAGTTACCATGTATAGAATGTAGACTGTTGTATTGATAAGTTATACAGTGATACACCATATTTGTATGCAGGCATTTCACCAGTTTATATACAACAGTGATTTTCGACCTTTTATCATCTCATGGCACACATCAACTAGTTACTAATATTTTGCGGCACACCAAAAAATTATTTTTGCCGATGTGGCAAAAAAAAAAAAAAAGTATAGTTTTGATTCATAATTTTGATTCATTCACACCAAACGGCTATTGTTGTGTTGGCTGTTGTCATCTTTTATTTGACAATCTAAGGTAGAAGAGATCAGTGCTCCTGACTAAATAGGTGGGTATTGCATGTTTTAAAAATTCTTGCAGCACACTGGTTGAAGATCACTGATATACAATATTACATTAAGAAGTGGAATGTGTGTTTTTTTCTAGAACATTTTATTTCTACTGTGAAGACTTTGTTATACCTTATATGCTATAAAGTTGTATACCCTCTGAAATCAAATCATTGCCACTTTGACTTAGCATTTGCATCATAACATAATTATGATGTTTCTTTCATGTTCCTTTCCAAGGGCTGTCAGTCACTTGAAATTGTTGCTAACCAAGCTCTTGAATCAGTTTCCACTGATGATACAAAATTCCGTACCAATACTTTATAACAATTACCAAAACTCTCCTGCAGCCAGAGCATGATATATCTTTAATAGATGCTGCAATAAAATGTTTAGTCTATAAAGTTGGGGACACAGTGTTTCATTATAGCACAATGTGTGTGCATGTGCACACACAGCTTTGTATGTTCTTTTTACAAAGTCCTTCCAACTCTTAAAAGTACTGTAGTCTGGTAGTGCCTCAAATGTTGGTAATTTTTTTTTTTTAATTTACAACTTTTCCAGAAATTTGTTTTTATACTTTAAGGTTTCTCAATTAGATTATTTCTAGTTGAGCTGTAATTTGAATGCATTGTTCTCAGGGCCGTTTGTGCTAAGAGTTGAAGTTTCATTATTTTAAAGATAACTGCCTAAAAATATATTGCAGAATTTTCCCAAACTGTAATACATACAAATAAAAAATCCTTAGTAGCAACATACTTAAACTAGATGCTGAATATTCAAGAAAAAATGGGAACATTAGTGACATCAATACTGGAATTTTGCCATATGCTTTTTTCATTTTAGAATACAGTTTGATAGTGTTATCTTAGAACCCCATCCTTAATGATATATCTGAAGACATTTTTTTAGCATGGACCCCAAAGATAGTTTCAGAGTGGTTTTCTAACATGCTTAGGGACAACAGATCAAAATTCATAATGCTCTTTTAGGTACATTAAAATGTTTACATGTTGAATTCTATTATATGAACTAGGAACATATTTACTATGAGGAAATATGGCTCTTAAGAAGTGTAAGAGCAAACTATAGACATATTTCCATAAATAGTATATTAAACTGATCAACAGTTTAAAATTTTCTATCATTTAGGCATAATATTTCAGTTTTCAAGCCTTTTTTCTCCTAGCATTCAGACAAATAGTAGGCAACAAAGCCTTAAGAAAAATTTATTGTGGAAGGTCTTAAAGTTGAGAAAATTCAATTTATTAACTTTATTAAATTTTTTTCTCTCTGAATTGGGTATATGGCATCATTATTTGATTTTAACAGGGAACATTTGGATTTAGCTTACGGAACACAGATGTTCTGTGGGAAGGAGCATGGCTTGAAGTCATTATATAATTTAATATTTTTCCATTAAATAAATATCTGAACATCAGTTTAACTACCAAGTGAAGTCAAGTGCCTGAAAAGTGCTGTATACATCTAATTAGCATGCTTTCCTTATGTGAAAGATGCATCTTAGAGCAATGACTGTCAGGCTTTCACCTGCTAGAAACATACTTATTGCCAAACTTTGCCATCCACCATTGTTCCTCTCAGAACAGGTTGAAACCTATTTTACAATTGAAAGAGGGGTTCTTTCATTTATATGAAGTCCCTAAAACTATTTCTTGGTAGTGGTAGACTTATCTTAGTTCAAGATTGCACTTTTAAAAAACTCTGGACACTAAACTATGTTCAGTGATGACTGCACAGCTTGTCATAAGTCATAGTTGTGATCTTTCTTGAGAGGAACTCTTCATTGTTGTTAATATCTACTACAAATAAGCACTCATCCTTGCTACAAAGTGTAATGCAAATGACTAATTCTACACTAGCGTAATGAAAATGACTAGTTCTGCACTCTTACGTACTTTTGTTGTCCTCTCCAAAAGGTTATAGTTGAAATAGTATTGTCTAATCCAACGGCACTTTATTAGTGATACATTTTATTTGCCTTAGGAGTAGGAGAACTCTTGTTTTTACCTGCAAAGACACGTTTTAGCTAAAATTTTAATATTGTAAGAAATGCAGTATTATAATTGTGCATTTTACATTCCAAAAGGTAAAATTCAAATGTTAAGTCTTGGGCTGTACTAAAATAAGTGTTGAAATTCTTTAAAATGTAGATGTAAACTTATCAATTATAACTTTGTTACATTAAAATATATGTGTCTGTTAACTTCATCAGTTATATTAAATAAAAATAAAGTTAACAGCATGCACTATTCTTGTATATATACATTTTTAAAAAAAAATTCATACTAGGAAATTGTGTGAATTAATGTGTATATCACAGGTAAAAGAAAGTTTAACTTTTGTATTTATTGTGTTTTTATATTCTAGGTCCTTACTAGACAGTGCCCCAGCTTTATGACCTAGAATATTAACTTACAAATTTTATTTCCAGATTTAGGTACAATGTTTTTATTTTAAAATTTTTAGTAGCTTTTTAAATATGTAAATAGCCACATGGTTCAAAATTCTACAGGTACAAGAGTAAAAACCTCTCATCTTCATCTTCCTGTGCATCCTCCCAGACATATTATACAAGAGAGGTTAATGGTCCCTCCCCTCCCCCTAACCTCCCAGGGCCTGAGCTGTTCTGTGCTGCCAGGGTTGCTGTTCTCTTTCTACGGTGATACGAGTGGTGGGATGAGTCCCTGGAGCAGACCCTTCACCGGTTTTCCAAGCCTCCTCATGTCTAATCAACACCATCTAGACAGATTCACCCCTGGACGGCTCAGTGGTTTCTTCCTTTTTTACACTTTACCCTTCTAGAACATCTCTCTCGCTCCCGACATGTGAGCCATGCCAAGACGGCTATGGCAGTTGTCAGTCACCTTATCCATGATCAGTATTACTGATAATCTTTCAGGTCCAGCAAACATAATTAGGCAGTAAAAGAGGCACTAGAGTCTTCCACCCTCCAACCCTACTCTTTATTGCCACTTGCAAATACCAGTAGCTCTGTTTCCCAGAGGTAGGCATGGGAAGGGGGGAAGAGCGCATGCAAAGGGGCTCATTGTGTGTTATGTACCAGCCTGAGTCTATTCTCCCCCGGCCCCAGCCTCATGATTGAACATTCTGTCCAAATAGAGGGTGTCCTGAGGAAATGCCACATTTATAACCCATACTGCCTGTAACACGTGTTCCACTGGACACCTGAGACATCTAGTCCCACAAGATGTTTAGCAGTATCAGTTACAACCAGTGGGTGTGTGTTGGTTCAGAAGGACCCACCTACAAGGTTACATCAATCCACTGTCCAATTTCAGAGTTATTTTTTAAATCCAGTCAAATTAATTTTTGGCCACACCGTGGGCGCTTCCTAGAACCATACGATTGCTACTTTTTTGTACAGTCGGTGTTTAGATATACTCAAAAATTAGCCATTTTCTTTGCTATTTCTTTTGCCTATAGGCCTTTCTAGGATCATTTTTCTTCCTGAAATATCTCTTTCAGAATTCCTTTACTGGGAGTCTTGGTAGCAAGCTTCCAGTTTTGCTATCTAAAAACACCTTAAATGCATCTAATCTCTTGAAAGATACTTTTCTAGTTTGTAGCTCTAGGTAGACAGTTATTGTCTCAGCACGAAGATGATAATCCTCTGCTTCTGGCTTCCATTTTTGCTAATGAGAAGTGAGCAGTTAATATAACTCGTGTTGGTAAATATTTTGTCTTTTCTCTATGAATGCTTTTGAGGTGATTCTGTGTGTTTGGAAGTTTCACTGCAGTGTGTTTAGGTGTGCATTTCTTTTAAATGATCATTCCTGGAGTTTACTGGGCTTCCTAAATCTACAAATCCAGCCATTATTTCTCTAAATTTTGGCTTTCCCCCATTTTCTCTATTCAATATATACAGTCTCTTATTTGAGTTTGATTTTGTAAGTTTTTATTAGGTTATTTTTATTCATGGATGAAATTCATGATTTTCATCCCTGTGTTATTTAGTGATTTAAAAAACGGTGTCAGCTCTGTTTTCCAAGTTTATCTCAGGGAGTCCCTTGTGCTTGTATTTAAAGTTCATTTCTCTGGAGAGCGTTTGCATTTGCTTATTTTGCTTGGCACGACTAACCCAAGCACACTTTAAACTATATTTTCAGCCCGGCCGGGCGTGGCTCAGCGGTTGAGCATCGACCTAGGATCCAGGTGATCGGGGTTCGATTCCTGGTCAGGGCACATGCCCGGGTTGCGGGCTAGGCAGCCGATCAATGACTCTTATCATTGATGTTTCTCTCTCTCTCTCCCTCTCCTTTCCTCTCTCTGAAATCAATAAAGATGTATTTAAAAACAACAACAACTATATTTTCAGGTTTTTCATGCTATTTGAGCAGTGCTCGTTCCAGCCCCAAGCTCCTGTGAGCATGGGAGCTTGTCATTTCTGCCTCAAAAAAAAAAAAGTATATAAACTTTGCCACCAGTTTCCACTGAATAATTACTTAACTACTTAGTAATTACCTATAAAACCATATTTTAACCAGTCTTTTAAGGTGGCTACATATGGAGAGGGTTTTTCTGTGAATTTAATCTGCCATTTTGTTCTGTATTTTATTTTACTGATTTATTCATGCTTCAGTATCATGTAGACCCAATGGCTGAAGTTTATCCTGTAATAGAAATACACCTGTCATATATTACAGTATCTTATATGTGAATAGCTGGGACAACAACTTCCTCTCATTGTTCTAAATTGTCTTGGCTCTTTTCAGACACTTTTTATTTCATATGTTTTAGAATCCATTGTCATATATCAGTGGGTGCTGACAGGTATTGTATTAATATATACTGTCCCTGTGTATAAAGCTTGGAAAGAATTGAGTTACAATATTTAATCTTACCATCTATACATTTCTGATTAATATTTTTAAGTATTTTTCCTAAGTAAGAGTGTTTTCTGTTATAGCTTCTAACTAGTTATTTTGGGATTACTAGTTATTTTGAAATATGTGTTGTTAATAGTTCTTAACTGTGTTTTTGTTGTTTTGGTCAGAACATGGAAGACTGTCATAAACAAGCAAAATAAAATAATAAATGCCTCAATGTTTTTTTCCAAAATATCCAATACTACAAGAATCATTTTTTCTCTGCAGCCTGGCAACCCTTAAGAAGGAAATGCTAATTGCTCTTTTTTCCCCCTTAATGTTTGGGAAAGAAGTGAAATTATTGTGGTTCTTGAGGCAAAGAACCAAAATCTTCTAGAGATGGATTCCTGAGAATTTAGTACCTTACTCATACACTACAGGGCGTGTGCTTCATTAAAGCATAGTTCCCACTATTACTAGTCGCTGTCATAAAGGATATGCACAGTTGTCATTTTTTAGGGTCACTCTCCACCCCCCATCCCTGCCCCACCCCATATGATAGTTTCACTTCCACAAACACCACAGCAGCACTCTGAGAAGCAGGCCACTTTCACAATCCGACCTCAAGTTACAATTCAAAACTCAATAGCTATTTTTTCCTTTTGTGGTTAAGACTGTCACCACCCCACCATCCACACTCGTGTGCATTAGATATTTTGGTAGTTAGGTCTTGGAAAATATCCGTTGGATTTTAAGTGGGAGGCATTTTGGATGGAAGTGAGGAATCCTAGGGTTAACTCTAAAGAGCATGATAACATGGAATAAATTACACCCAACAGCTGAACACTACGTGATTTTCTCTTAAAGGTCTTTTTTCTTTCCAAGAATCCAGTTTGTGTTGACTTACCAAACAATGATCTCCCTCAACAGTCATTTAGAAAGCAGAACATAGATACAGAAATAACTTTTTTGCTGGGGATTATAATTGCAGTATTAGACAGGAGATCTTAAAGCACCTTGAGACAATGCCTTGCCCTGATTGGAAAGAAGATCTAGGCGGTCGGTGAAAGATGACTTCTACCTCGTCGGATGCGTGTATCTCGCTGCGGGTTAATTGCTGAGATCATTGTGGTCAACAAGCGAGTCACCCGCGGAAAACAGCGAAGCATTTCAAACCCCGCCGCTGGAGGGCGCTCTCAGCAAAACTGACTGCCTGCGCTCCCCTGGCCACGCCCCCGGTTGCCCGAGTGACGGGCCTCCGCGCTCCTCCCCAAGTTCTCTTCCGGCCGGCGAAGGCCTTACGCCTCGGCGCGTGACGCAGCACGCTAAGCTACAAATACGTGCCGACGGCCGCCGCGCTCTCTCTCTCTCTCTCTCTCTGCTCACGCGGACTACCTGCAAGATGGCGCCGGTGAGTGGGCCGCGTCTCGCTGGGTTTGTCTTACCCCGAAGTAGATGACTTTCGCATCTGGAGAGTTGGGGTTGTGTCATTAGGGGTGAAGGGAGGGTATAAGTGGAGACCGGGTCAGGGAACAACCACGACGTGACGGCTCTAAGTTGTTTTTTGAGGTAACTGGCTCGCGGGCCTCGTGGAGCTGGCGCTGGGCCGGGCCTTGGCTTAGGCTGAGTGGCCGAGCGGGCGCAGGAAGGAGGCAGGAGGGTGAGCGGGGCCAGAGGCGCGGGAGCACTTGGGCCGTTTCATTAATCCCGCGCGCTGGGTAATGACGGTGCCGCCCTGTTTGTTCGCAGCCGGAGGGAGCTGGTGGTGTCGGGCTGGTCGGACGGCCTTGTTAGGGCGGCGGGGGCTCCGAGGCTCGCGGCCCCGAGAGGGCCCCGGTTACAGAAGGGGACTTTGTAGCACGGAGTTGAGGAAGACGTTTGTCTGTCTCATGAAGGAATTATGTGAAATGTACAAATCACGAATGTGCTTCAAACATTTTATGTACGTTATCAGGGAACCAATAAGCTGTTAAAGTCGGCCCAGAGAGCATTTGAAAAGTTAGATGTGTGTCGGAAATTTACCAAAAAAATGTCAGGGAGGGTGATATTGCTGGGTTATATACTAAAGTGGGCCGTGTCCAAGGCGGCCGTAAACCCTCCGGGTTAATCTGTTCCGCCGGACAGAAATTGTTTGCGTCTCCTAATCAAATAGTGCCCCAACAGGGCTGTAAATTGCCCGGTCAAGTCCAGCTCCTAGTAATCTTTTTTACCATTTCTAAGTTTTGGATGATAATTTTTTTTTTTTTTTTTTTTTTGGCACAAGTTCCTCAACTACCTAAGAAAGCAAACTGGCCTTAGTACTTGGTACCCATTTGGGTGGACCTGATTTGGAGTGACATCCTCTGATAAATACTGATTTGTATGTTTCACTAGGTTGTTTGAATAAAAATAGTAGCTACAGCGCCGTTTGAGTTGTGTAGCATTATTATGTAGCATTGGCTTGGGGTCTGGAAAACTTAAATTACATATGTTTTTAAAATTAAAAAAAAAAAAATGTACCAGACTAAAGGTCTCCCTCCCTTCTCACCTATAACAGTTTAGGAATTGAATTTTCTGGGTATAATTGCTGTAATGGAGCTTCGACTAGGTGAACTCTTCCCCATCTGCAGTGGGGATGGCAGTAGTAAAGCAGTGTCTGTCCTGTAGAAAAAAGTACCTGGTCATTTAAATTGGGCGTCAGCGGTGTGAAAAATAATAAAGGCCATAAAACTTTCCTTGATAACTTTAACAAAGGGGGTGTTTCTAGTTTTAACTTGCAGTAAAAAGTAGAGTGATCCTCCTGATCTTTTCCAGTTGTAAAATTAGGATTCTTTGGAATCTTCTAGTGAAGGGAACGACAATAGTAGCTCATCATATACTTCGAAACACGGATGGCGGATTTCCATCAGATTTTTAAGTGAATAAATTGTTTTAGAGAGTCATAATTATGTTAACTTTCTATAGCAGAAAGCCAAGAAGCCTAAGAGGACAACCTGGAAGTTTGGTTTGGACCTTACTCATCCAGTAGAAGATGGCATTTTTGATTCTGCAAATTTTGTAAGTATTGCTCTATTCAGTGTTGTTTTTTTAATCGTTGTAGAATTCTTAATAATTATTGAGTATGTAATTGATTTTAACCTAAGTTCTGTTCCTAGGGTACCTTCCCTAGTGAATATCTAGGGTTTTCTTCCCTAGTTTTGCATTTTTTCTGTTTTAAAATAGGAACAGTTTCTACGGGAGAAAGTTAAAGTCAATGGGAAAACTGGAAATCTTGGGAATGTTGTTCACATTGAACGCTTCAAGAATAAAATCACAGTTATTTCTGAGAAACAATTCTCTAAAAGGTTAGTATTTGTTTTCCATAATATTTGAGTGAAATTATGATAATTGAGGAATGTTTTATAGAATATGTAATCCTAGTGTTCTCTATTCATATGTAAGAATAGGTATGTTACTGATGTCAGTGAAATATATCAAAAGTGTTTTGAACTTTAATAAGGCCTATACGAATGAAAAATCTATTAGTAACAGTACCAGTTACTTAGGCTGGTGTCAGTAAGTGTAATTTATTGTGTGAATACAGGCAAGCTATGTCCAGACTCTCTGTCCAGTGAATCATAGGCCTTGTAGTCAATCTTGTATATAAACTAATCACTAGGGATTTGGAGATGAAATATCTGTCCTGGAGGATCTTACACACATACAGATAAATATTATAAAATGTGATGCTGTAATTGCAGTATTAAAAGTATAGATAGGGAGGGCACAAGAAATTTGCAGAAAACCTGAGAATGAACATAGTGTTGCTGGTGAAATGTGGTATTGTTAGTAGAGGGAGCATCAGTAACAGGGCAGGAAGGCTTGATGAGAGCATGTGGTAATTATGAATTGCTTTAAAGTGGAAATGGAAGAGAATGGCTGGCGGTGAAGTTAAAACATGCTGAAAGTTTTTAATAAGGACAACCGTATGTTAGTTGCAGGGCTGTGTATAATCTTGAACTTATAAGTAGAACCTGTTGAAAGGTTACCTCAAAAATAATCTGATTGTGGCAGTAAGATTGGAGAGGAAGCTGTATGCTGCTCTCCTGCATACTGGCTTAGTTTTAAGGCAATGGGAGAAGAGTTTGTAGAGTATAAACTGATTCTAAGTAGGGTTGAGAGGCTACCTTATTTGTATCCCTAGCAATCTTGCACAGTGGTAATACAAATGAAGTATTGGAGGGATTTGGGAACCCAAAAGATGAATGTAACAGTACATCTTACATGTAATAAGCCTTTGCCTAGTAGGTATTGTATTTCTTAATGAAATTCATGTTTTTGTTTTAAAGATACTTGAAATATCTTACCAAGAAATACCTTAAGAAGAATAGTCTTCGGGATTGGCTTCGTGTGGTTGCATCTGACAAGGAGACGTACGAACTTCGTTACTTCCAGATTAGTCAAGATGAAGATGGATCTGAGTCTGAGGACTAGGTGAAGCCACCTTTTTATAGGGCTTTGCTTGCTAATAAAACAAATGAAGTATACAAGAGAAACCTCTAGAAATGGACTTTTAATTTATCAGTGAATAAAAAACCAACACTATGTTACGCTTTTGTCCTTATTTCAGTGTGTGCTATTTACATGAGGCTGGCTATCCTTTGATAGGTTCTGTAAGCAGTATTTAAGTAGCTTATAGCTAGTGGAATTTTTCCCAGGATTTCTGAAAATTATTGTTTTTACAAATGTCCTCAGGTTAAAAGGTGTAGCGTTGTATAGGAAATAATAAAGCATAGTTTGGGTATAACTTTATTTGGTAAAATATTTAAGATTCTCTTGACAGTCTTAAATATTTTTGTAGTTTGTAAATGCAGTCTTGAGTGCCAAGAACATATCTTAGAAATAGGTGCTCAGTATTGAATCACTCTGCCCTCTGCTTCAGAGGATGCTTTCTAATGAGCATAAAGAGCCTATGGATGAGCATAGTACTGCTCTAAACCAATGTTTAATTGCCAACCAGAAGCCTTGTGGGCACTAGAAACTCAAAACCTTCAAATCTGGACTCCTACTGTCTTACCCACTAAATCTGTGTTCCTCATCTGAAAAATTACAATTTACTCAACCCGTTGAGTTGTCTCCTTAACCCCTTTCTGCACCACCATCCCACCACCATGATCATTCTAAAAATGTAGGTCAACCATTACTTAAAACTTCTCAGTGGATGGACATTTTCCCCAAAATGAAGAGGCCTTTGAGAATTCTTTAAACAGGATAAAATCTATGGGGCTTGGTAAGGGACACTGATGTTAAGGGAGAATTCGAGAGTGATGTACAACTGGCTAGATGGTGGCATTTGCTGAGTTTAGTCAGAATAGAAGACATTCAGTTTTGGTCATGCTGAGTTTGAGGTCCAGATGTCAAGCAAGAAGTTGAGTTTATCAGTCCAGAGCTAAGAGGAAGGATTTAGGTCTTAGTACTAGGTACATAGGTAGTAATAAACGGTGTGAGTAAAATTGCTTCTGGGGAGTGGAGTGAGGATCAAGTATTGCTAACACCAACTGCCTCCTTCATTCCTTCCCTAGGGTAATCTTTTAAAAACTGGTTGTGTCATTCACACTTAAAATTGCCAGAGGGAAGGGGTCTTAATACATGGTGATGGGAAAAGATACAACTGGGTGGTGGGCACACAGAGCAATGTACAGATCTTGTAACAAACCCACACCTGAAACGTATATGTTCATATTAACCATTGTCACCCAATACATTTAATACAGTGTTTCTTTGGGAAGAAAAAAAAGCTATGTAAATTCCACCTCCATAAACTCTATAATAAAGATGAAGAGGAAGCATGATAATACAGCCCTAAAAAAAAAGTTCATTTAATGTTTAATGTGTAATAGGACCTGTGTGCATTGTGCCAGATAAAGAGATGCATGCCTTGAAGGAGTTGGCAGGTTGAGACAAAATCATTTATATAAATTATATTTAAAGAAGTCTAATTCCTGTATTAGTCCCCTCCGTTCTGCTTCCTCCCTCCCCCTACAGGTGGCCATTTAAAAAGAAAATTGTGACAGATATGTATACCATTAGTTAAATGACAGCTTACGGTACTCACTTTTCTCCACATTACTTTTTTTCACTTGATATCCTGCATCAGTCACTCCTGTGTGGCTGTACCATAGTTTATTCAACCAGTTCCCTACTTATGGGCATTTAGTTGTTTCCAAATTGTTGCCACTATAAGTAGTGCTGAATTAAAAGCCTTGTGCAAATACCCTGTATTTTCCATTGAATTTTTGGAGTCAATTCCTAAAAGTGAGACTGCTAGATCAAAAGAAAAAGGAATGTGTAACTTAAATATATATTGCCATTTCCCTCCATGGGGGCTATGTCATTTTACCTTCCCACTAGCAGTGTATGAAAACTTCCATTTTCTCATGGTCTCACCAACAGATTATATTGTCCAATTTGAGTTTTTTGGTTTGAGTTTTTTCATCTGATAGGTGAGATGGTTTTACTCTTCCTTATTGCTTTGGGATTTTGAGCCATTAGAAGAGTTTCCCGCATTTCCAGGTTATTGTAAAAATTATTTCATATATTCTAGTGTTTGTATGATTTCATTTTTTTTAGATTTAAAATATATCTATTGACTTAAGGGAGAGGAAGGGAGAAGGAGAGAGAGAAAAATATCAATAATGAGAAAGTCATTGATTGGCTGTTTCCTGCACCCCCCCCCACACACACACGCTGGGGATAGGGCCCACAACCCGGGCATGTGCCCTGACCGGGAATTAGAACCTCAGTCTCCTGGATCCTAAGTCAATGCTCAACCGCTGAGCCATGCCTGGCCAGGCTCACTTTTTTAGATTTAGATCTCTATTCTGTTTGGAATTTACCGTGGTTTACAATTTAAGAAGTAGATCTAATTTTATCTTTTTCCCATGTTGCTGCTTTCTTATACCATTAGCCCTGATTCTAAAACACTCCAAAAGTTTTTATTAATACTGGTTTTCCTATTTACCTGGAAACCTGTGTTTATGGTTCTGCTGAAGTGGTTGGATAGTCTATATTTATAGCTTTAGTGTGCTGCTCTTTAACAAGCTGGAGGACCTAAAAGCCTGAAGGGCCACTTTTAAGTAATACGTTGTAGTTTATAAAGGGCTTTCTCTTTTGATTCTTCAGCAATGTGGCAGAAAATATTATCTTCCCCATGTTGCATATGAGGAAACCAATCTCAGACAAACTGGCTTGCCCAGGATCACACTGTGCCACCAACTGCAGCCTTTATCCAGTGTTCCCCCACCTAGGCATGTGCCACTTCACCACACAAGGCCATGGCCAGGCCAAGATGCACTCAGTGTGAGAAGCACAGTCAGATGTCCTGCCTCTGCTACCTACTAGCTATGTGAACTTGGACATACCTCTTCACCCCTATGGGCCTCGCTTTCCTCATCTGCATGTAAAGAAGAGTTTGGAAATAGATCAGTGACTGTCAAACTTTAGTAACTCCCTCGCCTACTTTTGATAAGCACGGATGCCTCATATTCCCTTCCCCAGTTCTGATTTCCATCCTGATGATGTGATTGATGCATATATACCAGCCAAGCTTTTGGAAGACTTTCTATTCTAAAACAACAAAGTAAGATTCTTTCAATTTTCCAAATATAAAGTTAAAATGTTGAATATGTTTTTTAAAACACAAGCTCCCCTCTCCCCACGAGGAGGCATTTGCTAAAGCTTTTTCCTGCCCCAAAGTTCTGATTCAAAAGAACCAAGCTAGGAATCAGGAATCTCAATTATGATTGATTGGATATGTTTTTCCCAAGGGAAGGAACCATTAACATACAACTGCTCTTTCCCTGTCTCTGAGTCCAGATCGTGTGAACTACACACATCCCACATGCTACAAATGTGTGGTCATTGGTTTCTGTTCTGTGAGGCCCTGTCCTGAAAGCTTATGAGTGACTTAGATGTGCTCTCTGCACTCAAGGAGCCCACAGTTCAAATGTGGGAGGCAAACATGGGGACAAACAACTTGAGGTAAGTGGTTAGTGCCACAATAGATCACAGATGCTTTGGAAGCCCCTCTACCATGAGTGGGAAAGAGCATCCAGGAAAGCCTTCTGGAAGAGGTGGTTGACAAAGAACTGTCTTTAAGGAAGAGTGGGAATTATGGGCCAAAGGAGGAGAAAGGAATTCTAGGCTGAGGAGGAATAATGATGGTGGTTACTACTCATTGAGGGCCTTCTCTTTTAGAATCTTTACACGCATTTCATTTAATCTCTACAGCCATCCTTCAAAGTAGCTATTATTTTCCTTTTAAAAATCAGCAAACCAAGGCTTAGAGTGCTAAGCAGACTTCCTGTGGTCAGCTAATGAGTTCTAAATTAGAATTTAAACCCAGGTCTGACTTCAGTGCTCATGCTCTGTAAATATCTCAATGTAAATGTTTGCAAACTTCTCTCAGGCAATCCTTTCTTACAGTGATGCCCATTCTACTGGCTCCAAGCCTTCCCCCCCCCCC